AACGGGGAAGGAAGATTGGTACTTACTCCTGGTTGACTTCCAAAAAGTGTATGATTCGGTGTCGAGAACCTTCCTCTTCCGCACTCTGGAACGCATGGGTTTCCCGGCGGCTTTTATTGAGTGGACCAAGGGGCTTCACGACCAATCGGCGACGCAGCTGCTGGTCAACGGATGGCTGGGTGAGCGGGTAGAGGTGGAGTCGGGGGTAAGGCAGGGATGCCCACTGGCACCATACCTCTTCATCTGCGCGGCGGAACCACTGAGTCAGGAGGCTGAAAGAAGGAAACTGGGACTTAAAAAGAGGGGACGAGGAGGATTGGCGTACCTTGGGTATGCTGACGACACTACGCTCTTACTTCAAGGGAGGGAGCAGATTAAGAGGGCACAGGGCCTTTTGGACGACTTCGGTGTCAGGTCGGGGCTGCAAGTCAACAAAGCGAAATCGTTGGTGATGCCGTTAGGGAGAAACAGGGCAAATCTGCCACCTGCGGACACAGTATACAGCTGGGCAGCAAGGGGAGAACCAGAAAGGCTATTGGGCATTTGGATCACAACTGATGGGAGAGCGGAGCCTACCTGGGAGAAAGCGCTGGTTCGGGTAAATGTTATTCTTATCAACTGGGAGAAGCTGCATCTCACAACGACGGCGAGGGTGACGGTCCTGAACGCCTATGTGATGCCAGTGGTGCTTTTCCAAGCGCAGGTGTATCAGCCACCGAAGCAGATATGGAAGAGGATCTTGAAAATTTGCCGTAACTTCATATCAAAGGGGTGTGCGGATGAAGAGAAGCATTTCACGCTCTGGAGCGAGGTCCTGGCGCACATGGAAAGAAAGGAGGGAGGGTTAGGAGTAATCAGCCCGAAGGAGAGAGTAAACAGTCAAGCACTGTGGAATTTAGGGGCGGCGCTGCTGGAAGGGAACCCTATGAAGCAGTGGTTACAGGAGAGAGCGGCGAACATGCCCCTGGGATGGGCTACGCTACTGGCACACAAGGCGATCATGGCGGAGTGGACGTGTGGTAGTGGGCGCTGGAAGGCGCTTGCTCCGCTCATGTGGGATACGCAACTGCCATCGTTGCCGGAACCTGCAAATAGATGGGAGATGGAGCAAGAGCAGCTTTGGTTCAGCAGATGGATACACTATCAGGGAAACAGTCCATTCGGCAGGCAGAAGGGGTCAGACTGTCTACGGGGAATGGTAGTGGGGGATCTGCTGCAGGAAGACTTTGCCGGAGGGTGGAAAGTCAAAGATATATGGACGCTGACGAAGCAAACCGGGAGATCGACTACGGCGAGGTGGGCGCTCAGGGCCTGGGAAGCAGTACCGGAGAGCTGGAAGGAGAAACTCTTGGCGAGCGTCTCGGCGGAAATGATCGCGGAAGCCTCCACGGTGGTCAGAATTGGTAGAGAAGTGGCGGGGTGTCAACACTTTCTGCAAGTGGCACTGTCGGAGACTAAGGAGTTGAAATGCGAAGCAGTATCTGTGGATAAGGAGGGGAACGTTAAGCTCACGGGAAGAGTGTCGCAAACACCTGCACGGCTGAGCATGCTAGTCCCGATGGTGGTCAGGGAAGGCAGGCTGTTGGGGCAGGCGGGGGACCCGGTTGCACGGCTACGCGTCTCTTTTCTCTGTGAAGAAGGGAAACCAAAGGCGCAGAAAAAACTGAGGCACCTGCTCAGGAAACCAGTCACACAACCAAAGCAGCAGAGGAGGTGGGAGGAGTCGTGGGGCAGAGCAATTGACTGGGGGAGAGTCATCAGGAAGAGGGACTCATTGGTGGTTCCAGCCAAGGCGAGGGAGATTTTGCTGAGGCTGCACAGTTACAATCTACAGGTGGGGAGCAGGGTGGCCTTCCTTGGACCGCATGCATGATGTCCATACTGCGGGAAGGAGGAGACGCCAACGCACTGCCTGATGAGCTGTCCAACAGTCAGTGGGGTTTGTGGCGCGCTTCAGGATACACTTCGGCTAATTAATCCAAGAAGGCCGGTGGGAACATTGGAGGAACTGCTTTTTGCTGACGACAGCACAGCATCTGGTTTTCCGGAAACCACACTCATTGCTGTCACCTTCAGACACGTCTGGCTGGAACGGTGCGACGCGGTCTTTCGGAAAACGACCTTCGAACCTAAAAGGGTGGTCAGGAAGATTGGAGCCAATTTTATGAGGCACGTTCGGATATACAGTGAAGGAGCATGCATAGCTGGCAACCAGTGCAAGGATACGAATGTAGGGCGGGGGCAAAACCTGACAGCTGGAGAACTGAGGGCGTTGGAGCGGATTTGTGGGGACGAGGGGAGGACGACGTGGAGCGAAGATTTCAGGTCAATTTGGGATAGGCCTAGCACCTTTTTCAAGCCACCGTAGGGTGGCACGGGGGGGCTACGGTAGGCTGTTGCTTGTCTACTAGTGCTCCCCTGTTTCTTCAGTTACGACTGTGGGTGTATACATTGCATAGTGTAATACATCCCAAAAAAAAAAAAAAAAAAAAAAAACACGAAACAGGTTGTGAAAGACGTTCGGAAGTGCGACCAATCGTAGGAGAGTTTCACACCTCACCATGAGTCAGCATGAGTGCCGAGCCTTCAATCACTGTTTGGTTTGTTTTGTTTCCGGTTGGTACTGTATTCGTTTGGTTCTGATGGCTTTTTTGTGCTGCCGAACAGGGCCGAAACTGGTCAAATACAGAACCCGCTCTTCACCGCATGAATCCATGGAACCGTGCAGTACCGCAATCAACAATCTTCCAATCAATGTTGCCTCCTCCTTTGCGCTGGCCTCTTGCCACGCCCCTGCTCTGCTGTGCTGCCAGTGCTGCCTTGAATATCTGCTCCTCTTGCCTGTATTTATAGTTTTACACATTCCCTGCAAAACAGGTGAGCTCCAGCCAATGCTCCTCCTGCAAAAAACAAAACAATGCTCCTCCTGCTTCGCTGGTGAAAAACAAAATGCAACTTTTTATTTCCGAGCTGGATTTTGTAGATAAACCAGCAGTGTGAATACGTATTTCGAAAAGGTCAACGTGGTGGTTTGATAATGCTGCCTCGCCTTCGAAATTGGGCAGGTGAAAATGTCGCGCCTTGTCTCCGCTGTAACCCTTGTTTTTTTGTGTCATCGTCACGTCACACCATGGTCCACGAACGAGGGCACCAAAGTCGATCGTGGAAAAAGGCTTGACATCCGACTTAGAGGGTGTCTCAAATCCCTCGATCCACCCTGGTTCTATGCGGTCGATGGGGACCAGTCCACCAAACCACCTCGGACCCAAGGGTGGACCCGCTCCCTGAGCGAATGTGGACCGTGGGTGTAGCAAACCAGCACCCTCGTTTTAGCGGGCGAAAGGGACTACAATGGGGAGGATCCCCTGGTTCGGCGAGCCGGTCCATGTCGGACCCCTGAACAGCCATAGTATTGGCGAACACCCACGAACTCACCTCGCTCCGTCGCAAAACTTGGCAGCATGCGCTGGTGGACTGGCCAATCACAAGTGTCACAGGACAGAACAAGCCTACTCCATGCACGAATGAACGCGAACATCACAATGACAGTCAACGGGTGACGCCCACGCGCGTCGTGGTACAGTTGAGCAAGTGTTCTGTACAGTCCTGCGTGATGGTAACCCAGTTTTTTTAGAAAAGGTACAGTTACGGTCGCCTACACGCTTCTGTTGATTGCATCTGCGGAGCCAACAACAATGAGTCTGAAGCTGGTTCGCTAGGCTGTTCCAGCGGACCAGTCCGGGATATTTCAGGGTGACGAATTTCAACGTCGGACCAGGAAGGGGCGGACCCGCGTACCAGCCGAAGTGAGACACGTTCTTAGAGGGTGTCTCATGTGACCTGGTCCGCCTCGACCCAGTCCGTCGCTAAAATGTGCATGCCTGGTCCGAGTTTTGGTCCGACGGACCCGTTTGGCAGACCAGCCGTGTACCAGAAGCGGACTGGTCCGCTTGATATGTTTCATCTTGGGCTATACAGTCGCTGCGAATTGCAACAGTGACGACGAAAGGCACACTTGCTGAAATCGAGTTACCCTTTTCTGTGTGCCTGTTAGAAACTTCTCAGATAATCCAGCGCGAAAATCACGAGTGGTTGAAAAATTCGCAAAACAATGTTTGCGAAATTACTGGTTACGGACGAGAGGCGGACTGGTTTGGCGACCAATCAAAGGCACCGTTGTAGTGCCATTCGAACGCTATAACGAGAATTTAATCCCGAATCCTGGTCCAATCCGCCGTTGGTTCACGCGCTGGTTCTCGAGCTGGTCCGTCGGGTCCGCGTAGGACCCACGTGGACTCGCGCATTTGAGACACGTCCTTAGCATGCGTCCTGGGCGGGTAGAAAGTGGAAGATTGGGGTACGGACAAAGGAATTGGGGCGTTGACGAAATGGCATTCCTCAATACTATAACCCGTTATTGAGGTGATGGCAAATCTTAAACTTCAGTCGAACATACGTGAGGGGTTTAGCCTTAAAAATGCCTTTATCTGTAAAAGTCACTCAGATACATTATGCTATCTAAAAACTGCAGTTTCTGTCAAGTATCATGCCTAGGATGAATAAAGGATTTATCCGAGAAAGCAGCTACCAGCCTTGGAGTCTATTCTTCACTCCCTCTTTCAAGAGGAGATTCCCTCCCTCACCCCTCTTTCTTGCCTCCTGAAATCTCCTCCGCACGGCATCCGTCGCCCCTTTCACGGTACACCCTCACTTCAACCATCTTACGGAAGCTAACTCTCCTGGGACTGGGAGGAACAATGGCCAGCGGCCCAGCTGCTGTTTTTGCTGCTGCTGGCAGTTCTGTTACTGCTGGTGCTGCTGCTTCTGGTGCTGCTAGTACCACTGCTGTTCCTCCTGCTGCTTCTTCCGGAGCTGGTAATGTTGTTGCTGCTGCTGCTGCTGCTCCCGGTGCTGCAGACTTAAAGCCATTTTCCGGGGTTAGTTGCACAGAATCACTGAAGCTCACTCTCCTAGGAACGGGAGACGATTTTTTTGGCGCGTCAGAAACCGGTGCCACTCCCACGGGCTCGCTGAAGCTGACTCTCCTTGGGATTGGAGACGTGTGGTGAGGAGGAGTGTGGTGAGGTGTAATGTGGTGAGGAGGCGTGTGGTGAGGTGTGACGTGGTGAGGAGGAGTGTGGTGAGGTGTAATGTGCTCTACCTGCATCATCTCCTGAGTGCACCCTGTGGGGGTGTGGGCACTTGCATGGGGTTGGATATGCGGGGCTGTGTGTGACACTGTGTGTGCGTGTGTGTGGGGTGCTGTGTGAGAAACTGAGTGGGATGCAGTATGGTGAGGTGCGTTATGGTGAGGTGAGTTAGACCCAGTGGCATGGTGGTGAGTGGGTTCAGTACCAGTGGGCATATCAGGGAACGCGACTCGGCGCGGACTGGCTGGGATGGCTGCATGAGGAACTGTGTGGGATGCATTGCAGTGCGGTGGACTGCGGTGAGAAGCATTGCTGTGTGGGTTTTCGCTCCCAGGGGGCATATCAGGGAAAGTGACCCGGCGGGGACTGGCAGGGATTGTGCTTGACAGAAAAACACCACCACCACCACAAGCATTCCCAGCGTTACTGAATGCTCCACCATTGCTGTCTATGCCACTGCTTCTGCTGCTCTTTCTGCTGCTGTTTTTGCTGCTGCTTTTGCTGCTGTTTCTGCTGCTGCTGCTCCCACCACCGCTGCTACTGTAACCACCGCTGCTGCTGCTGCTGCTGTGGTTGCTGTGGTTGCTGCTGCAAATACTGCTGGTGTCCGTGTCGCTTGAACTTGAACCAGGAATAGCAGCAGTAGCAGCAGAAGAGGAAGAGCAGGCAAAAGCTGTGACAGAAGCAGTAGCAGAAGCAGCAGCAGCAGAGTCAACATTAGCTGCAGCAGCAGCTGTGGAAGCAGAAGAAGGGGGCGGGCTCGTTGCTTTGAGTGCACTCCTCATTGGGCTCGCTGCCACTGGTCTAGAGGCAGCAGCAGCAGGGCCAGAAGCAGCAGGAGCACCAACACCACCAGCAGCAGTACTACCAGCAGCACCACCACCAACAGCAGCAGCGGCAGGAGCACCACCACCACTACCACTAACAGTAGCAGTACCACCAGCAACAGCGGCAGCAACGCCAGCAGCAGTAGCCCTTCCAGCCACACGAACCCTCCCCCAAGCACCACCCCCACGCTGCTGCAACCTCTGCTTCTCCTCCTCTCTCGCCTTCTCCTCGTCTCGCTCCTCCTCCTCCTCCTCCTCATTGCGAACCAGAGTCACCACCTCTACGAGTTTGTCGAAGCTGACACGCCTTGGGCTCGGGGATTTGGTGTGGTTTGCGCCAAAGCTGACACTCTTTGGGCTCGGAGACTTGTTGCCGTTCACATCAAAGCTCACTCGGCTCGGGCTGGGTGATTTGTGACTCGATTCAAACTTTACAATCTTTGGGCTGGGTGACTTTTGAGTTGCGTCGAAGCTAACACGCCTTGGGCTCGGAGATTTGTTCAAATACGCATCGAAGCTCACCCGTCTTGGGCTTGGTGATTTGAGCTGTGCATCAAAAGTCACTCGCCTTGGGCTAGGCTGATGATTTGTCGCGTGTGATCGTGACCCTGATGCCGAACCTGCTGCCGAACCTGCTGGCGAGCCTGATGCCGATGCAAAAGATGATGCCGAATCTGCAGCTACGCACACAACCTGCTGCTGCTGCTGCTTCTGCTGCTGCTGCTGCTGCTGCTGCTGCTGCTGCTGCATGTGCGGCTGTTGCTGCTCCCCCAGCTGCGGCTGCAGCTGCTGCCAGTCGAAGCTGACTCGTCGAGGGCTTGCAGATGCTGCATTAGTTCGGATACCATGTGCTGCTGATCTCCCCCCTTCTTCCTGCTGTCCCTGCTGCTGATTCTGCCCATCAATTGATGGCTTCTGCTCCGGCAGTCCCTGCTGCTGCTCTGTTGAAGCTTGCTGCTGTTTGGTTGACGAACCTCCACCTCTTGCCTCGGCAAAAGCTTCAGGTACGGCGAACCGAACCACGGGAGACGTGGTGCGAGGAGGCCTGGCGGCCAGGCCTGGGCTCGGGAACCGAGCCTGCGGCACAGGCCCGGGAGCTCCTGGGCTGGGAAGGGAAACGCGAGGAGAAGGATTGGCAGGAGAAGGGAGGGTTCTAGGGCTGGGAGCAGAAGATGCATGGGCATGGGATGGTGTGGGCACCAGGATAGGTGCAGGGGCGTTTCGGCGAAAGGAAGCCCTCGGAGTTGTCTCTTCTGCTGCTGCTGGCACTGCTGTACCTCCTCCTGCTTCTCCTGCCCCTCCTGCTCCTGCTCCTGCTCTTGCTGCTGCTGCAACTCCTCCTGCTGCTGCTGCTCCTCCTGATCCTCCTGCTGCTCCGGATATCACAGCCGCTGCTGCTTGCAGTGCATCTAACGCCCCTCCACCTGCACTCACCACCGCCGAAGCTGCTGCCACCGCTGCTGCCTCTTCCAGGTTTTGAGGAGCCTCAAAACCCCCCTCCGGATGCGCTGACGTGGCCACTGCTGATGTGGACAATGGTGACGTGCTTGTTGGGTTTGACGTGTCCGAAAAGGAGGGGGAATAGTAGGGAGGGGAGATGGGGGAAGGGGATGAAGGAGGGAGAGAGAGTGCAGGGGAAGGGGGGGAGTGTACGGAAGTGTAAGGGGAGCAGAGAGAGGAGGATTGGGGGAGGAGAGGGGGGGAGGAGGAGGAGCCGGGGGAAGGGGGAGGAAGGAGGAGGTTGGGAGATGAAGCTGAGCGTCTGAAGAAGTTCCTGGAAGCTTCTCCTGTAGCAGTTGCACCAGCAGTGGCAGCGAAAGCAGCGATATGAGGAAGCAGATCAGGGGAAAAATGGGAGCTGGAAACTCCCATAGGGGGTAAACCGCCTGTAACGGAAACGAGGCCTCCTGTAAGGGGTATGGGCGGGCGATGGAGGTGCTTTGAAGCGGTTGAATGCGGTTGTGAGGGGCTGAGCGTGGTTGGATAGGCGGGAGGAGTGTGAGACATAGTCCTGTGATGATGCCGACTTTTTTCTTTTCGAACCCTTGTTCCTGCCCCGGCTGCTCCTGCCGCTCCTGCTCCTCCTCCTCCTCCTTCTCCTCCTCCTGCTTCTGCCGCTGCCGCTGTTACTGCTGTTCCTGCTGCTCCTGCTCCTCCTGCTGCTGCTCCCACCCCTGCTGCTCCTGCTCCAGCAGCAGCAGCAGCAGTCACCTTTCCTGTCTTGCTGATGCCAGCCCAGTCCACAAACCCTAATCTTGCCCCCCCTGCACTGGAACCCAGCCGCACAACAGCAGCGGTTGCACCTCCTCCTGTCCTGGGGGAGGTCATACCTGTCCTGGGGGAGGTCATACCTGTCCTGGGGGAGGTCATACCTGTCCTGGGGGAGGTGAAGCCTGCCCTGGGGGAGGTCATACCTGTCCTGGGGGAGGTCATACCTGTCCTGGGGGAGGTGAAACCTGCCCTGGGGGAGGTCATACTTGTCCTGGGGGAGGTCATACCTGTCCTGGGAGAGGTGAAACCTACCCTGGGGGAGGTCATACCTGTCCTGGGGGAGGTCATACCTGTCCTGGGGGAGGTGAAACCCATTCTAGGGGAGGTTAGAAGTGGCTTTGGGGAGGCTATACCAGGGGAGGTGGTATCTCGGGGAGAAAAGCCTTCAAAAGCAGAGGAGTTCGTACTTCCGTTAGGGGAAACATCTATTGGGGAAGTGGAGATTTTAAGAGGAGCGGGGCTGCTCTTATGGGGGATAAAAGCGTTTGCGCTGTTCTGATTGGAGCAGGGCAGTCTTGGGGAAAGGGGGGCAATCCTGGGGGAGGGAAGGGAATTTCCGGCTGGGCTGCTGCAGGTAGAACTAGCAGAAGGGGAAATACCCCCAGCGGAAGTTGCAACTAAAAAGGGTGAATTACCCTTGAAACTTGTGACCAAATTCTGAATTTGCAACTCCTGCCGAACCGCCTGTTGCGCCGGCCCGGTTCCCCGCGGGAATGCCTGCTGAAATTTCTGCACAACCCCTCCCCCTTGCGCCAGCACCGTCGCCTGCACCTGCACCTGCGCAACCCCTCCTCCTCCCCCCCGCACCGAATCCGCGGAGTGCGTCCGCGGAACCATTTTGCGCCGCTCGGTTGGCGGAGGGCCCGCGATCCCTGGTCGACGCGGCGACGTAAGAACGCCGCTGGTAGTATTCGCGACGGAGGCGGCTCGTGGAAGTTGTTTGCTGGTTGAAATTGAAGAAGCAGCGGTGGGCAGGAGTACAGGCGATGGCGCGGATGAAGGCGACGTTGGCGGCGAGCGCCGCCGCGTCGCGTAGGGCGCTGCGGCCTCATCGAGACTCGCCTTTTGAACGCCCGTCGGAACTTCCGCGGCTGCCGTGACTTGCGGCGCTGCCGTGAGATTCGCGCTCGCGACTCCGATTCGCGAGTTCGGGAGATGCGTGCTCACGACCGTACTCAACGAGCAGCAACGGCGGTGCGTCGCGGCGCCCTTCACCGCGCCTCGACGGCCGTCGCCGGTGACGGATCGGCCGCCACCACCTCCGCCGCCTCCGCTTCCGCCGCCTCCTCCCCCCCCGCCTCCTCCACCGCCTCGTTCGCCGCGAATCGGAGCTATGGGGGAGGCAACTACCTCTGGAACGGCTGCTGCGGCGGTACTCGCGCGGGTGATGCCGACGCGATTGAATCGTCGCGGGCCAAAATCACCGCCGACTTTGGCGGCAACAGCAGCAGCAGTTTCGGAATCATTCGTCGCGGCACCCGGTGCTGCGCGGTGTAGGCTTCCAACCGCCACGCCTGCCGCGCCCGCCGCTCCCCCCGCGCCGGCCGTTACCAGGGACCGATGGAATTGATTCCAGTCGAAGCGGGCCGACCAGAGAGCCGCCTCTTGCGTCGCCGACAGTTTTGGGCTTCCGCCGTTGGAAGAGGAGAGGGGGTTAGGCGTGGGAAAGGAGAGAGGGGGAGGCGCAGCGGACGAGAGTGGGAGAGGCGCGGGGGAGAGGGTCGGCGCGCGGAGAAAAACCGCGGAAGAATCGTCTTCGTCTCCACAACCGGCAAGGGCGGAGTTGGATCTGATGTGCGGGGGGATGGCGCAGGGAACTGACGTGCGCGGCGATGTTTGGCTTAACTCCTGTTGCTCCGCCTGCTCTTGCTGCTTCTGCTGCTCCTGCTGCTTCTCCTGCTCCCGCTGCTGCTCCTGCTGCTTCTGCTGCGCGAATTCCGTCTCCTCCCTTTCATTACCGTCCGCGGAAACGTCACTCGGCGGGTGCGCGTCGAGCGAGCTTGTCTCCGGCACTTGTCGATGCGCCATGTACGGCGGCGGCGGGACGTGCGCGGCGGAGAAAGAGTGGCGCCCCTGATCACGTGGTGGCGCGGACTGTTGCAGCGGGGTGTGCGGGAGTTGCGCTGTGTGCGGGAGCCGCGGGGAGCGCGGGGGCTCCGCCTGGAGACCGGCGGAAGGGGACGAAGCTCGACTGCTACAACTGCGGCGGTTATGGCGCAAAGGAGATTCCTGGTTGGTACGGCTCTGAGTCGTGGGTAGGCGAGCCGCGGAAACGGCAGCGGCCATGGGGGAGAGGATTGCCTCTCCTTGAGCTATTTAATCGTTCCCGGTGGTGCGGCGGCAAAACTGTGTGAGAACGCTACTAAAGGGGTCTAACAGGAACCAACTACTCCGCGTTCGCAGGACGCAGTTATTGTTCTCCCACTAAATGAGGCGGAATATCATCCGTGTGACAATTCGATAAAAGGCGTGAGGTGCGGAAGGACGTTCTACGCGCCGAGCGAGACGGGGATTTCCTTTTCGGAGGGAGGAGGGTGCAGAATATGAGTCAGGTGCAGAACGATTGTACGACTATTACCCCGCGCGGCGACGACTGGCAGAAGGAGCTGCGGCAGAAAGTACGTTCAATCGATATTGGTGACATCGACGCGACGAGGTATTCTACTCGAAACACGTGTCCTGCTGAACCGAACAGCTATAGCGGCCTGTGCAGCGGAAAATAACCTAGCAGAGGGTAACCCTGCTACCAGAAGCCACGTGGAGGCTAATGTCTTATGGGAGGCGTGTACGAGGCTCGAGTATGCGTCGGATACAGCAGCTTTTGAAAAAGGTACCTTACGCGGCGTGGCGGTTGTTGATTCCGTTCCGTGAACCCTGGTCCGACCAATCAGGTCTGAGCGTGAGGCCGAATAATGATAAAAACGGTTCATGAGACACGGAAAGAGGCTCGTTAGGGCGATTCGACCGCGAAAAGGAAACTCGATGGTAGAGGCCATGGTGCGGCCATAGGCTTGCCGCTTACAGAAAGTTGTCTCAGTGAGTAGAAGGTGTTTCTGACAGTGGAGATGGTCGGGAAGAAAGCGGCGCTAGGGCAGTTTCTAAGACGTGTTCGATAGTGAATGCGCGAAAAGCAGAAGTGCTGATATAGCCAACGAGACAGCAAAAATTGACAGGCAAGAAATATATTGGCCAGCACAACGTGAGCCTGTTTGCCCTCCTACAAGTGTTAGTGCAGGATAACATCCAGTAAACATCAACACCGCAAAATGGGTTTCTCGGTTTTCGTACGGTATACTACGTTTTATTTACTACAGAGAACGGTTTGAGGGTAATTAAAGTCGGTTCCCTTGAACGCAATTTTGCAGCACCAGATTGGAGGAGGTGCTGCTGAGCTGTTGTAGGCGTTGCGTTGGCCCAGGGCTGGGCTGCTGCGAGCCTCTATCCGCGCTGCGATGCGCCGCTTTGTGATTCGCTTGGCTGGGCTGGCTGGCTTGGGCTGGACCGCAAAACGGAAACACCAGCACAGCTATGGGACGAGAGGGGTGCAGGTGTGGAGGGAGAGAGGGGGGTTTTGGGCGGAAAAGGGAAGATTTTGTTTTCCAGCTGGCGGACAACAGCGATGTACGTGTATTGGGACTGGTTAACTGTAGTCGAGTGTATCTCTGGGATAGAAGGGCGCTACGGGAGAATTCAAATATTTATTCAGCAGCAAACCTCACATTTTGCGTCCAAGCGGTTGTCACATCTCAACCACCTTGTGGGTTGGAGGGCTCTTGCGGAAACATACCTTGTTGCTGTGTTCTCCCAGCAAACACTGAACCCAAAGCTCCACACACCAGCAACCCAACACAAAGTTCCACCAGCAAACCTTGACACTTTCGGGCAACCCATCTGTACAACAATGGGATGCACAGCTGTCATGCCAAGGCCCAAGACGCACCCGATTTCAACATGTGTCGTACAGTTACGCGATAGCTGTACACCTGATCGAATCGAGGATACTCATAGAAAAAAACAAAACCCGCATCAGAGCAGATGCACTTTCGGTTACGACGAGCAAGCCAACAAGCTACCGTACAATTTCAGGGCCCAACTTGCACTCTCGTCATGGCCCACAACGCTCTACAGAAGCCACGATCAAGTCCTCGTGCATTTTTCGAATTGATATAATAGTTTTTCTCGTTTTGTAAACCAACTAAGCCTACATGTACATATTCTACTTCAAAATTCCCACATTTTTCAGCCTTGGGCTCGTCATTGGTGAACGTTGTTCAATGGTGATGGCTCTTCAATGCAGGAGGCTACCAACAATAGTGGCTCCGCCACTCTCAATATAGCGTAGGCACATCAGGTAAGACTGGAAAACAGAAAACGGCGAAACTTCAACCTAGGTTATATGTTGCAATACAATACACTACACTTCATTGCAACACGTTTCCTCGTAACTAGATTGCTACAGGTACAGGATGAAACCCGCTGAACTATTCAGCGGCTATTGCTTTACAGAATCAACAACACCATTTGTTACAGTGTCGTCACAGACAGTCACAATGTCATAGTCACCACTGTCCTTGTATTCACTATCTCTGCACGTGAAGTACCAATACTGGCACATGATCTGTGGAACAAGCAGGGGCATGAGACAAGGGGTGGGTGTGGGAGAGAGAAAGAGAGTGAGGGATAATAATATTCTGCATGAGTACAGTACCTACACTGGGCCATTATTCGTGGAAAACTTATGGCCACAAGGAAAGGTATTGACACAGCCTTTACAATCACACTTGGACAATCACCAGTTTTCATCACAGCCATTACAATCACACCTGATAAACACAACATTTCAATCACACCTGATACCACCACACCCTTCTCAATCACACCCAACCGAATGACTTCACTAAAAAAGAGGTCTATGACCAGGCAAGATTTTTGAGTAGACTCAAATCTCCAAGTAAAACGATGGCAGAAAAATTAGACTACAAGAATAACTCACAAAAAGGTCCATGGCCAGGCATGACGCGCTGTCAGCAATCCACGGCAGGTTCGGCCGAACCTGCTTCCACTCCAGCGACCGAACCAGGATACTCCCGAGGTACGCCAGATTCCCAGCCACTGCCAGCGCAAAAGCGGGCGGCGCAAGCCCCTCGACCGCCCCGCGAGCGCAGTTCAGAATTATCGGGGGTAATCGCCCTGTAAAATAAATGCAGGTCATGGCCCAGCCCAGAAACTGCCCGACTGCCCTCAAAAGCAGCTCCTCATGTTTCTCCGGATCGTCTGGGTAATCAGGATCGTAAGGATCGGGGAAAGAGTTTCCAGAGGGGTTCTGAGAAGAAGAGTGGGAGTTGTCAGGATCGGAGAAAGAGTGGGAGTCGTCAGGATCGGAGAAAGAGTGGGAGTCGTCAGGATCGGAGAAAGAGTTGGGACCGTGAGGGTCAGGATTCGAGAAAGAGTCTGAGGTAGTTGGGGGGAAGCCTTCTGGTTGGTGCGTGGTGGTGGTTGGTGTGGGATCCGAAGCCTTTCGAGTCGATTCAGAAGGCTTGATGGGTGGCATGACAGTAAACGACTCAGAGGTGTGGAACACCTGCGATTGACCGTGGTGGGTGGGTGGGGAGGGATCGGAAGAGATTTGCAGAGCGAGGGAAGAGTTTTGCAGAGCGAGTCTTTCAGGTTACTGATCTCTGATTCTCTGCTACAGTAACCCATGCCGCTGCCTTCCCTTTAAACGACTCAGAGCTGTGGAGCACTTGCGATTGACCGTGGTGGGTGGGTGGGTGGGTGGGTGGGGAGGGATCGGAAGAGATTTGCAGAGCGAGTCTTTCAGGCTATTGAGCTCACGGCCCCGTTGCTACGATATCCCATGCCGCTGCCCTGGCTTTATACGACTCAGAGGTGTGGAGCACCTGTGCTTGACCGTGGTGGGTGGGTGGGGAGGGAGGGATCGGAAGAGATTTGCAGAGCGAGGGAAGAGTTTTGCAGAGCGAGGGAAGAGATTTGCAGAGCGAGTCTTTCAGGCTATTGATCTCTGATTCTCTGCTACAGTAACCCATGCCGCTGCCTTGGCTTTAAACGACTCAGAGCTGTGGAGCACCTGAGATTGACCGTGGTGGGTGAAAAGTGGTGTGGTTGGGACGTCAGATGCAAGTGGGGTATTGCGAATGTATATTGAGAATGGGGGAGATTGACAGTATCAGGGTAAGGAAGGTTCCTAGAATGTTTTTTTCTTCCAAAGCGAGTATTTTCAGGCTGTTGATCTCTGTCACAAATACCTATGCCGGTGGTGGTGCATAAAAAGGAATTGGATTATTCTTCAGGCTCTCGAGTAATCATACCTGCAGCAGTTTTCTTGACATTGGCCTGAGGAGCGATGATTGCTCTGCTGCACTGGTGTTGGCCAAGTCAGCAAAAATAACCGCGGCCGAGGCGTGTGCTGAGGATGAAGAGGAAGAGGCGGAGGCGGAGGAAGAGAAGGAAGAGGAGGGGAAAGAGGGGGCACTCAAGTGAGCATACCTGCAGCAGCTTTCTTGACATTGGCCTGAGGAGCGATGATTGCTCTGCTGCACTGCTGTTGTTCAAGTCAGAAAAGACAACGGCAGGTGAGGAGTGCGGGGAGGAGGAAGAGGGGGAAGAGTAGGAAGAGGAGGGGAAAGAGGAGGAGGAGGAGGAGGTGGTGGTTCTTGGGGTGTTAGCCCACGAGTGGATGGAAGAGGGGAGGGTAGGGTGAAGGGAAGGAGAGGAGGAGAGGCCGAAGACAGCTGAGATGGTGACTAGGGCAAGGACCTGGAGTGGTGAGGGGAGGAGGTAAAGGGGGAGAGGAGAAGGGGAGAGAGGAACAGAGTAAGTAAGCCAAGGGGTGATGAGGTGAGAAGCCGAAGACAGCTGAGATGGTGACTAGGGCAAGGACCTGGCGTGGTGAGGGGGGAGAGGGGAGAGGGGAGAGGGGAGAGGGGAGAGGGGAACGGGACACTGGTAAGGGGTGGCAAGCAAACAAGTGGGAGCCTAAACCCTAGACAGCTGAGATGGTGACTAGGGCAAGGACCTGGCGAGATGAGGGGAGGAAGGGACAGAAGAGGAGGGGAAAGGAGAAGGAGTGAAAAGGCGAGAGGACAAAGGGACACCCCGGGCAATCACGAGAGACAGAGGCCGCAGACAGCTGAGATGGTGACGAGGGCAAGGAACTGAGTGGTGAGGGGGGCGAGGGGACGGGGAGATAAGGGGCACTGTTATGTGGTGCCATGCAAACCATCTGAGCAGGCGCAGAAGGGAAGGAGAGGAGAAGCCAAAGACAGCTGCGATGGTGATGAGGGCTAGGACCGAGGGGAGAAGAGGAGGAGGGGACGAGGGGAGAGGAAATGAGAAGGAGTGAAAAGGCGAGAGGACAAAGAGACACTACGGGCAATCACTAGAGAGAGGCAAAAGACAGCAGAGATGGTGATGAGGGCAAAGAACTGCCGTGATGAGAGGTGGAGGAGACTGGGGGGGAGATGATCAAGGGGAGAGGCGAAGAGGTGAACAGGTGAGGAGGTGAAGGAGTTAAGGAGTGAGTGAAGAGATGAGAGGACAAAGAGACACCGCAGGCAATCACTAGACAGTAGTGGGGACAGGGGGGAAGGCCTCAATGGTGTCTTAATCAACACTAGATCAGTTCTCTTCACAGGGAGGAGAGCGGGCAAGTGGCAAGAGGCTAGTGGGAAGGGAAGCTAAGTTGGAAAAAACGCAAGTTTGAAGTTGCGTATTGAGTTTATACGCATCTGGAATTCGTACGCTGCGTATTTTTCTAAAATTCGCCAAATTTCGTTCGGGCTGACCAGGCAAGCGGATTCTTGTGCGTACCAGACCCCTCCCGGCCAGCGTACTGCGTTTAGACGCTAGCGTGTTAGAATACTCATATTTGTATCATGCATAGACTAGCAAGACTTGGTTAGATGTAAGCACCCAAGTTTATCTTGGGTGTAGAACTAGGGTTTGCCCTAGTTGAGGGGTTGGGGTCAATCCAACCTTGGTCCAATATTGTGACCCCCCAATAATTGGGCTCCCCATTATTGGAGGTTCAGTAATTGTGGCCCTCCCTACCACAATTATTGACCCCTCCAATAAATGGTGACCCCAACTTATTGGTGGGGGGGCCAATAATTGTGGCAAGGCCCCCAACTCAACTCATCCCTCTTCCTCAACTATGTAAACTCCCTTGTTCCTTAATGAAACCATCCTTCAGAATTCTCACATAGCGTTTATACGAAAGCGTAACGCGTTTTTTCCAACTTAGGTGGGAAGTGGGAAGAGGCGATAGGCTAGTGGGAAGTGGCAAGAGGCGATAGGCTAGTGGGACATTGACTCACCACATTGAGGGAGGGCGAGGAGGGGTTTCGGGGGAAGCAAGTAGCAAGCACACTCAATCACTCACCGCATTGAGGGAGGGCGAGGAGGGGTTTCGGGGGAAGCTGGCCCCAAAGGAGCTGGAGAGAGTGAGGCGGCGCCAGCTCCCTGAGAAGGACCCGGATGACCTGAATGGGGTCGGGGAGAGGGGAGGTGGATACGGTGATGATTGAGAGGCTGAGGTGGCAGGAAGGGGTTGCGGGGGAAGCTGGCCCCAAAGGAGCTGGAGAGATTGAGACGGCGCCAACTGCCAGAGAAGGACCCGGATGACCTGATGGGGGTTGGGGGAAGGAGGTAAGGTGGAAAAGGAAATGAGGTGAGCAGTAGTGAGGAGATAGCACCACAAGACCATACCACCACACCCACCGCACCCACCACACCCACCACACCCACCGCCCCCACCACCCCCACCGCCCCCACCACCCCCACCACACCCACCACACCCACCACACCCACCTCCCCACGAAACCCACCCCACCATCCCCATATAACCACCTTCCCCATCCAACCCATCCTCACCACCACACCACACCCATCCCCATCCATTCAATTCTTACTGCCCAAAGGACTGTCGCTGTGGCATCCCCACCGGAATCGACCTGCTCTTCCCCCCACCACTGCTGCCACCAGCGCTGCCACTGCCACCCCCACTGCCACTGCCCAATACAAGTAATAGCACCCCCATCCCCACACCCCCACCACCACCATCCCCACTCTCACACCCGCACATCCGTCCGACCCACCATCACCACTTACTGCCCAAAGGACTGTCGCTGTGGCATCCCCACCGGAATCGACCTGCTCTTCCCCCCACCACTGCTGCCACCAGCGCTGCCACTGCCACCCCCACTGCCACTGCCCAATACAAGTAGTAGCACCCCCATCCCCACACCCCCACCACCACCATCCCCACTCTCACACCCGCACATCCGTCCGACCCACCATCACCACTTACTGCCCAAAGGACTGTCGCTGTGGCATCCCCACCGGAATCGACCTGCTCTTCCCCCCACCACTGGCACCACCGCTGCCACTGCCACCACCGCTGCCACTGCCGCTGCCACTCCCACTGTTCCGCCTCCCTGACGCCCGTCCACCAATCCCCTGGTGCCACGTGTCCCTCTGCTGCTCCGCCCTATTCCCCCCTCCGACTGCAGATGCTTCAGGGAGGGGGAGCAGCGTTCGGGGGAGTGAAACCGAATCCTGGATGATTGGCAGGAAGGGAAGGGCAGGAAGGGGGAAAACGGGGAAAAGGGGAACGGGGAAAGGGGGAAAAGGGGAAAGGGGGACATGGGGAAAGGGGAGAAGGGGGAGGAGGGGCAGGGATGGTGAAACGAAGGGTACTGCACTTATCGAGGAGATTAGGGGTTGTTGTAAGGTGGAAAAATAAGTGTTTTGAGACGTCTCAATACATTTATGGAGGAGATTAGGGGTTGTTGTGAGGTGGAAAGTGATGTCCGAGTCGTCTCAAGGCTTCAAGAAGGCGAGCAGGATTCGGGGAAGCAAAATCCGGATTGATGATACCCCGTTAGCATCACATACCCCGTTAGCATCACATACCCCGTTAGCATCACATACCCCGTTAGCATCACATACCCCGTTAGCATCACATCGCCAGCATCTCAAACCTTGTTAGAATCACATACCTCATCAATTATGGCGTGGTACAGCCCGTTGGGTGCACCGTAATCATCCTCAACGTAATAACCATCATCATCACCACCATCATCAGTACCAACAGCGGCACCAGTAGCAGCAGCAGCAGCAGCAGCGGCAGCAGGCGCCGAGGTGGTTCCGACAGGGGGACCTTCTAGCAGGGGAGTGTTTCTGTTAGGGGCTGCGAGTCTCCTGCCTCTCCTCTCCCGCCGCCGCTGCTGCCCCTTCCTGCTGCATGCTGAGAGCACGTGCTGCAGCACTAGCACGAGCGTTGTGCTTGTGTAGAGCTGTGACAGTGACAATACGGGGGGAGGAGGGAGTGGAGCGGTAATGAACGGTTTAGTGGGATGGGAGGAGGGTTACAGCTTTCCTCTCCCGCCGCCGCCGCCGCCTCTTCCTGCTGCACGCTGAGAGCACGTGCTGCAGCACTAGCACGAGTGTTGTGCTTGTGTAGAGCTGTGACAGTGACAATACGGGGGGAGGAGGGAGTGGAGGGGGTAGTGGAGGGTTTAGTGGGATGGGAGGAGGGGGAAAGAGCGTTTCTCGCCGCTGCTGCTTCTTCCTGCTGCATGCTGAGAGCACGTGCTGCAGCACCAGCACGAGCGTGGTGCTTGTGTAGAGCTGCGCGATGGAATGGGGAGTGGGTGAGAGTAGGGGCAGGGAGTTTAGAGTTTAGGAGGGATGGGTAGAAAGAGTGGTCTGTTTTTCCTGTTTTTACAGTTTGTTGAGAGCACGGCACTAGCACACACGTGGTGCTTGTGTAGAGCTGCGAGACGGAATGGGGGGAGGATTGAGAAGTGGGAGAGGGAGCAGGGAAATGAGGTGGCCTCTTCCTGCTACATGCTGCGAGCACGTGCTGCAGCACGAGCACGAGCGTTGTGCTTGTGTAGAGCTGCGCGATGGAATGGGGAGGATTGGGAGGAGTGAGAAGTGCACGGAGGGGCGGGATGAGAGAAGGAAACTGGAAGGCGGGATGGGAGTTTTGAAATGACACAAGGACACAAATTGCAGCAGAGCAAAAGCGGGATGACAAAATGGGTACTGGATTGATTAAGAATAAGAAGAAAAGGATGAGAGGCGGGAAAGATGGAGGAGAGGGGAGGGGCTTGGGATGGGACGTAAATGGGAAGGAAGGGTAGGGAAAGTACATACGATTGCTGTGAAGAGCTGGGTTGGAAGCTGCAGGGATACGTTGCAGGCGGAAGTGAGGGAAGGGGGAACGGGAGAAGGAAGGGGAGAGGGGTGGTGGAAGAAATACACAGGGAGATGGAATGAATAGAAGAGGTGAGAGGTGGAAAGAGGGAGGGAGTGACACAGGGGAAAAAGACAACGTCGGAATGGAGAAAATGGGATAGGAGGAGACGCAAGAACAGAATGCATAAGGAATGAGGGCGAATGGAAACGGGAGCGACGAAGCAACCAAATGGGAATGCAGGAGAACGGAAAAATAGAGCCAGTATACGATGAACAAGGGAGCTGTCACACTAATGGGAATGCAGCGTGACAAGATTGAAGATTCACATGAAAAAGAATCTCCCACTGTGACAGGGTCGACTTTTGAATATTCTCAAAATTAAATGAGGATTTTAGAAAATGAGACATAGCACGTTAGTAGTGTACCGTGACAGGATCGAGGAGGCAGCCGAGGAGATTAAAGACATCTCTGGAGGGCGGGAAAACAGATGGTGGAAAGCAGCGGAACCGTTTTAGACCTGACGGACGGTGAACACATGAGCAATGCCAGACTTTTAGCTAAAAGGCAATGTCGCCTAAAATGAAACATGAGCATATCGGTAAACGGAGGTGGAGGTCTTCATCATCCTGTGATCCATGTCAGCACCGCCATTCACCCCGAGATCCACGTCAGCACCGCCATTCACCCCAAGATCCACGTCAGCAGCATGCACTCACCCCACGATCCACGTCAGCACAGTTCACTCACCCCACGATCCACGTCAGCACCAGCGCGAGAGGCACCTCCTCAAGCTCCACGCCGCTGCGCGACGCCTGACAGTTGGCGATCACCTGCGGGACGTTTTTGAGAACACTCTAAGAAAGTTAGCCAATCCCCTGCACGACGCTTGACCGTTGCACTTTTGAAAAACATGAAAACGACAGTTGGTGATTACCTGTGGGACCTCCGCCACTGCCCAGCACGCGATACTAAAAAGACCTAAGTAGAGCGACGCCGCGTCGCGCGCGGAGCACACGCAGTCCCCGAAAACTAAGTACTTCCACCGGGAGCAGCCCGACGGCGGCGATCCCGGAGCGGGAATCGCGGCCGCAGGACAGGATGGGTCGAAAATGGTCATGGCGGGAAAATGGAGGTATGAATTCTGCCAGGAGGGTATTAATAGTTACACCGAAATGTGGTAACCGTTGCGTATTAGCGAACGACGTGGCGGATTCGAGAATGACTTGGCGAATGTGAGTAGGAAACTGATGAGAGGGGGTGTGGCAGTTCTTTTGCCGAAATGCAGCCCCGATGGCTCTGACGCTTCCAGATCGAGGTATGTCAAATAGTCGTACTGACCGAACTATCCACTGGTCCTCCGCGAGGGAGTTATTAGACGTTCTTAGGGCTAACCTAACAAGACTGCCATCCGAACATTGTCAAGGGGACTGCGACTACATTCATTCGGCTCCTCCCTAATTAGCTGTCGCAATTCATAGTTACAAGCGTGAGAGAATAGTGAATCTGAGGGTAGCATGCTTTCTCACGCTAAGAAATAAAGCCGCCTCGCCTGCGTGGCTTGGTATCGTTAGAGAGTGAGGTGGAAAGACCACGTGGTTATGACTTGAATGGCTGGCTGCCTCTCGATGTTTTCCTTGAGCTGCATCGACGGCTGATGTTGCAGAAAAGTGTGGCGTGTCCAATTAGCGTTGAGGAATGTCATCCTCGTGGTAATCTCAAGGTTCGAGGTGGGCGATAGTTGTGGTGGGTAGCAAGCGAAAGTGAGCGAAACTGGTTACGCAAACACGATTTGGGAAAGCACGATGTTTGTTCCTCCGCCGTCCGTTTGGCTCCAGCCAATCAAGTGAGACACATCGGTTGTGGTGGGTAGCAAGCGAACGTGAGCGAAACTGGTTACGGAAACACGACATGTGTGGGAACATGTTTGGTCGAAATTGCTCCTCCGCCGTCAGTTTGGCCTCAGCTAGTTTAGGTGCAGCGATTCATCGCACAAATCGCAGAACTCGCTTAGGTCCACAAATATCCTCGCACAGATCGCACATATCGTTAATATAGTACTTTTTCACCAGAAGCAGCAAATTCCCTCGGGAATAGGGTTAGTGTTTTGGTCGATATTGCCTTACCAAGCTCAGATATTGCCGTACTTAGTCGTTTTGGTACCAGACATCCCTCATATTATTTAGAGCCTCCACTAGGACAATCTGTGGGGATTGGCTCTTGCAGCTAGATCATCATGGATAATGATAAATGTCAGATTAGCAAGTGCGAGAATGATAATAAATCCGAGCCGTCGACGACCGAGGATCCCGAGCCGTTGATTGACGGACGGCGCGAGTCGTTGGTTGATGGAAGATCTGAGCCGTCCGTTGATGGGAAATCCGATCTACTAACTAATAAGGATTCCGAGACAGCCGTTGATGGAAGGTGCACGGATCCCGCGGAGCGGTTAACTGAGAAGCTCTCAGGTGTGTTTGCGCGCTACGACTTTTGAGGCGCCTCAAAAGAGGATGCACGGATTCCGCAGAACGGTTCGGTAAGAAGCTCTCAGGTGTGCTTCTGAGCTACAAAAGGGGTGACGGACGGGAGATTGATGGTTAACAGGGTCGGCAAATTTTGATAATTCTCTGTGTGGCTTCTAGCTTTCTGGCTTCGTCCCATTTCCCCCCGTTTTTCCTACTTTTGCAGGTGTATTTCCGAGACGTGTATCCTCCTCACCCTTTCCCCAAACTAAAACACCTGCAAAAGTAGGAAAAACGGGGGTTAGGCGCCTACCTTTTCGTCCCGAGACGTGTATCCTCCTCACCCGTTCCCCAGCACCCCTCTTCGAAACGTTTGTTAAGGAAGGAGGTGACTTTTGAGTCGACTCAAAAGTCACCTCGAGACGTGTATCCTCCTCACCCGTTCCTACTTCTGCAGGTGTTTACCCCAGACCTGTATCCTCCCTCACCCGTTCCTACTTTTGCAGGTGTTTACCCGAGACGTGTATCCTCCCTCACCCGTTCCTACTTCTGCAGGTGTTTACCCGAGA